CATACATGCAACTTTCGTGTTTGTCAACACGACCTTTCGTCTGGCCAGACATTTGCTTTTATATATAGTTGCGTTTCGTTGCACGATCGTGTTCATCAACACGATCTCAGCATGCATATTCATTACAGTATAACTACATTGCGTTGAGAATAATCTGACAGCTGGTGGCAACACCTGCCTCGCAAAGGCGAGGCAGATCACAAGTTGCTTTAACTTGCTCAGATCCTCTTTCTCCGCCCACCCGTGTCTCATTCTTCCCCGTCCTCGAGTGCCGAAGCGTTTTGGGGGGGCGCACCGAGGGGGCACCAAAGCGTGCTTGGCGAAGAAATCGGGACCCAGGGTGTTCCTTCTTACCTTTCTTTGCAGCTGAGGCTCTACTGACTTTGAGCTCAGCTGCCTGCAGACCTGAGGATTGACGGAGTAAAAGCGTGACGGATTCTTTTCCTCTGTTCCCGAGTCCTAACCTCACGGGCGGGATTCGGGACGGGGTGTGTGAATAGAACCCGTGTAATACCCTCATATATACTCCTTATCCTCACCTCTCCTGCGCCGTAGCCATTTTGGCTCAAGGTATTGGGACAGATCGATCAGACCTTTGATCGTGCAGGAGGGAAAGACATCCATCTATCCCTCTTTCCCTCCACCAACGGATCAGGGGTTCTGTGCCCTTGTACTTCAACCCCATACACATTCGCTGGCTGAAGGCCAGGAAATTGCCAACAGGTCGATGCGTGCGATATTTGACGCCTATCACAATTGCTGGATGCAACGCGGTCCAGCTACCGTGTTGTGTTTGCGACAGTGAAGGGGCTCTGAACAATAATGCTTCCAAATCCATCCTGAAGGCACAAGGCGCATTACTTCGCATTCGTACTCGAGGCTAGCATGCCGCTGCCATCGAAGCACGCAGCGGCCTCCTAGGACGCGCCTTACATGTGATGGAAGAAAAACGAGAACGGCACAGCATAACATTGGCCTTTGCACAACGCAGTTGCGTTCTACAGCGGGGTATCTCCAAACCAGGCACTGCACGGACGACAATTGGCCTGTTTACCAGACCTGCCAGTATTGGACTGCCAGCAGGATGCGGAAACGTCCGATCACAACCGAGAGCAATTAATCAGCGGAGTAAGCATTGAGGCCATCGCACAAGCCACTGCAGTAGCCTAAACCAATAGAGCACTACGCGCAAAAACGACAGCGGCGGGACACCGCAACCATTGGCCAGGGGATCTCGTGGACTACCACCGTCCGACCACTACCAAGGGCGATTGGGGGAGATGGAGCGGACCATAACCCTATCGCCTGTATATGCCCTGACCGTGGTCAAGCAGTAGTGCATGTCGGAGGTCGGGAAGTCTTGGTGCAGCGCCCAGGCTTGCGACGCTCTCTCTCTCTCTCTCTCTCTCTCTCTTTCTCTCTCTTTCTTTCTTTCTCTCTCTCTCTCTATATATATATGTATATATCGAGGTATCAATGGTCCGCGTCATCGGCTCGGACACTGCGGCAATGCGAGCAGTTGGCCTTTGTCGCGAGCTTGTCAGCAGGGGCACCTGCCGTGGTCTTTGACTACCTGCCGACCGCGCAGGGGTGCCCGTGGATTGCAGCAGCGAGTCGTCTCTCGCCCGAAGGGCGCTTGGCCCTGCAGTTCCTCATCGGAAATTGTTTTATGATAGAAACGTTGTAATTGTACGCTCGGCGAAGGGCATCCGCGGGCTGCCCGCAGCACCCTGCGCTGCAAGCTGTTCTTTGGCATGCTATGATAATGGCCCTATCTCACTACTACGAATTAGAAGGTACCGCCCTCTGTAGTTTCGACATCACTGGCACCGCGCATGCGCGAGTCATTCAGTGTCGAAAGTCATCAAAACCTTTTTAGCAGGCTTTGATGAGGACCTTTCAAAGTTTGAGGACCTGGGGGGCGCGCCACCGACGGGCGGCCGCGCCCGAGGGGGGACAGGCCTCGGGCACCGGCCGTCCTTGACGGTAAACTACCACCTATTGCGGGGAAATATGAAGCGGATTTGGATGCGCAAATCGTGGGCGCGCGGTATGTAGAGCTCCAAGAGGAAGCGGAACTACTCGAGACCTCTTCATTGGAGTCCCTGTGCTCGGTGCCCGCCGAGATGGTTACCGTCGACCGCGCGCTCGTGGCTGTGGCCTGTGAAGGGCAAGGACACTTTCGAGGAATAGGCTATGCTCGGAATCACGATGCCGACGAAGCCTTTCTGGTACCTTTGATTATTTAATGCGTCGAGACATGCGATCTCGACTCGGCCGACCACGGCTGGTATGTCGAGATATGCTTTGCTGATGACATGGCCGAGGTCGTTCAATCAAAGCCACAGTGCGAGTCGCTGTGCTGCGACCAAGTCAGTAAAATGCGTGTATATGTCTCGTCTGCAGCGAAAAGAGCATTCGTTGTCAAGGATGGCGACCTCCTGGCGAAGGCAGGAATACAAACCAACCCGACAAATATATCGAAGGCTTTGTGCACCGAACTGAAAACATGGTTTGACAACAAATGTTGCAATCTGCAAGACATCAAGAACGGCACAAATATTAAGACCTCTGGACATGTGTACAAGTGGGAGTTTGCCAAGAACGACAGGCGACATGGAGCGAACAATGCGACTGCTTCGGGTTCTTCGTAGCGTTATGGGCGTCGAGGCATTCGACGTGGAAGCCTTATCGGGCACAGCTCGGCGAGCAAACCAGAGACTGCTCGCCAGCGCGGCCGCGTGCAATACTCAGTGGATCATGACGTCAATGGACATCGACAAGGCTTTCTTGAAGGGTCTGACATACCGTGCGTTGGCAGAAGCCACCGGTGAGAAAGAGCGGACGGTATCCTTTTTTTCCACCCGCAGCAGCCTCGGTGCTGCATGCGCTGCCCGGTTTTTCGTCATATAATGGGCCAGAGCACTGCCTTCATTGTCTTAAGCCAGGCGCGGGCTCCAAAGACGCCCCTTGGGCATTTACATTGGAACTCAGGGCCGTCCGGTGGGGTTTCGGGTTGACGCACGCATCAGATGATGAAAAGTTTGAGGCGCCCAAGCCTCCTGACAGCGAAGCACGTTGACTACATCGCCATTGACAAGTGCGTCACATGTGTAGAAGGTACGTTCGGCGGATGTAAATTGAACAAACACTGTTGCACCAACTGCGCCGTGCGATGCGCTGAGGCCGAGGGCGGCCGAGTCCAGCTAGATCAGGATGGATGCGTCGAACAGCTTCGTCCGATACTGCACCCAGAAATTACGGGAGCTGTAGCGCAAGAAACGGCAAAGAAGACAGCGCCCGACATGTTCATCAGTTTGCGTTGTGCCTTGGAACATGCATTGGTTGCTCAAGTATGGTTAATGGTTCACGTGGTATGTTTGCAACGTGTGCAGGCGCCCGCAAACCTCCGCGGACGAATGCGTAGCGCTGGCGCGTGCAAACTGCAGCAAGGTCTGGAGCGCATGATACATCAACTTATGGCACCGGCAGGAGAAGTGGACCTTCATAGTGACTCAGGGGATCGGCGCCTGAATGGGGTAGAAGATGACGCAGAAAAAGGGCGTGGCATCCGAGGGGGCGACATTTTTCTGCGTGGACACGCGCCCAACGCCAAATCTGTAGTGCATCTGTTTGATGCATGCTGCGAGCCACTTCTGTTGCAGGTGCGCTCCAGCTACTCAGCTGAGCCATCGGCAGCTGCCCCCAACCTTGAGGTTTGTTTTTCCGACCGTAGTTACGTTGCATGAGCTCAGGGCTGGACCCCTAACACCTACCCGGCCGAAGAACATTTTGGCATTGGGTGGTCTCAGCATTAAGGCCACCCCTACCATGGGCGCTGAGTCGGTAAGGACGTGAAGAAGCCGACCGAACGTGCCCTGTCGGGGCATTTCGGCTAGACGAGACAGATGATGTACCGATGTGTAGTGAACAGCGTGCAGTTATGTATTGCACGAGATATGACCGCTGACGGCCATGCCGCGGGGTGCATCGATCGTGCGTTACTGCTGCAGGGGATGGAAGGACATCGATCCTTCAAGTGCGAAGTCAAGCCGTGCGAGCCTTGTAGAGGCAAAACAAACACAGCGCCCGAATAAGGCATAATAGGGAAGCAAGCCTACAAGTATTAAGTACAGACGTACGAGCCTTGTATGGGTGCACTATTCAGGGCCAGCGGCCACTTATAAGGGCGACTACCCAAACTTAGAGAAATCGTTATCCTTGCCCGGGCACGGGCACGTATGCTTACATTATCGTCATCCTCTCCTGGCCACATGCACAGATGCTCAGATCGTCGCGGCTACCGTGGGCGCTTGGGCACGGGCGCGAACCTTTTTTACTGTGGATGGGGATCTGACCGCTTGGTCACTGCCCCTCGCCCACTGCGCGCTTTGACGGCTGGCATGTTGCCAGTCGCCCCCCTTGATGTTTTTTTGGATGGTCGCGCGGTCTTGCCCGTGACCATCCCTAATCATATGTGGCTGGTCATGGCAATGTGCCATGACCAGCCCTGATGCCCTGTGTTGTTTTTTCCTGTGCTTGCCTTTGCGCTGCTGGGGATGTAGAAAATCAGCATCTCCATCATTCTTTATTTCCTGTTGTAAAACACAGATCTAGCGTTCGGTCCCTCCCCTCGCGATTGTAAATGAGGTTTAAGGAGAGGTTGTGTGGCGAACGCTATATCCGACGCTGTCTTGGCTCAAGACAGCGCTGTCCTATTGGCTTGTTGCACTTCCGCGTGCGACTTTGTGAGATCATAGCATCGGACGAAAACCACGTCTATCTATGATCCGCCCCTCTATCCCATGGTTTTCTTTTACCTCCCGTCTTGCTGGCCATCGAGGGATGAGTCGTGAGATGCTTCGATGCGGCGCCGACGTTATCCTAAGAGTCGGGTTCTCAGCTTATCACCTCGTGGTCGAGCCCTGTACCCTTACTTTTCACTGGGAGTGCGGTGGTGGGGACAGGGGCGACAGGGGTGGGTGCACTCGACAGCCGAGGTCGCAAGTCCACGCAGGAGTGTCCCTGGGCGCACTCCATCGAAGAGATGGAGCAGTCCCGCTCCAGAGGCAAGAAGAAGGCTTGCATAAAGGGGATCCAGGGCCCCAGCATCTGCCCAACCCTCGGCTTCCTGCCCCCCCCAGCCCTCGTCCCTTTTCTTTGCTTCTTCTTCCCTCCCTCTGTCGCTCTTGTCTTTCCTCCCCGCCTCTTCTTTCTTTTGCCAGCTGAGGTGGGATTGGGTCGTTTGCCGCATGCGCAGTCGCGGCTTGTTGGACTCATCCGCAGGGGGAGAGAGAGAGGATGCAGGAATGAGGAAGGCGGGGGCGGAGGAGACGGAGGGACGGAGGGAGAGGAGGACGGAGGAGGGAGGCCGCAAGCTTGAGACCCCATCGAAAGAGAGACACGTAGAACGGCCAGGGCCGCCCACGATCCGATTTCGGATGTGATTCGATCCGCTGGCTGCGGTCGCGGCGTATCGCTCCGATGCGCTGGCGTCGGCCAGGGGCAGTTGGAGCCGGGTCTCGGCGATCTGCCTTCGTTCCGGTCTGGGGCGGCTTGGGACGGTCCGCCCGCGGCCCGATCTGCTTCCAATCCGAGCAGCTTTTTCGCCGCGCCGTGCAGCTCGGGCCCGGCAGCTCTGCGGCGCCGTGCCCAGCCCAGCATGTCGCCTGCCGATGCAGAAGGCCGAGGTTCGGAGGCCGAGGTTCCGGGGCGACGACGGGGGCGAGCGGCCCAAGGGCGGGGATCCCACGCATTCGCCGGGGGGCCTCGCCGAAGGCACTGGCCCTCGGCGCCCTTTGGAGACGTGCATTGTGCTCCCCTGGGCTGTTCGTGAGATGGAGCCCCTGCCGCCCGGCCCCGGTCTGGCCTCAGAGCGGCCCGGCCCATGAACCTTTCCTCGCTCCTGCGTCGGAGCGGAGCGGGGCGTGCCACAGGATCCCTGGGTCGCCATTTCTTCTTCTTTCGCACGAGTGAGAAGTCACGATGACGATACGTCCAAGATCACCAGGATCTCCAGTCTTGTTTTGCCGTTCCGCACGGGCCCCAGAGAAGAGGGCCGCCAGATGCCCCAGGATTTCTGGAGCTTTCCCTGAGCCAATCTTCCCATGGGCGTGCCACAAGGTTCAGGGGGCGCCGTTCTTATCAGCGCTCGGCGTGCGCGGGCCGAGCCTGCGCCGAGCTTGGGCCAGGGACCCTCGAACGCGAGCGCGCACAGCACTGGCCACTTCGACGGCCAGGCCATCGCACCGCCGCCGCCTTGCGCGGACAGAAGGGGCACGAGACCCCAAATCGACAGATCGGATCTACCTGTTTTTTTCGGACGTTCGATTTGATGCCTATCATACGGACTGAGGGCAGATCGTATTCAAACTTTGGTGATCAAGAACTCAGAAAGAGCGCTTTCTGCCGCTGCTGGCAGGGGGGGGCTTCAACCCCCCCCCACCCCCCACACCAAGGGGGTGGGCGCGAACCCCTCCCAGAGCTGCCTTGGGGCCTCTTCGATCCCTGCCAGGCCGTCTTGGACACGTAAGACGAATCGCAGCATGCGCCCAGAGTTTCTGCAGGAGCATCCGAGCGATGTTTCTGGAAACCTCTCCGGGAACATCTACATCGATGTCCCGGAATATTCTATAGGCTTACGCCACATCTGCCGACCCCTACACAAACTACTGCGGCTCCAGAGTCGCATTTCACGAGGCGTGTCCGAATCATGACACGGCGCTCGACATTGTTCCTGTTGCTTCGTTGCTGTTATCGTACCTCTTGGTGTTCTTTTGTGCCTTTTTGGTTGCATCTTGGCCTGTCTGCAGGCCATATCTGGCCGCCTCGAGGCATCTTGGGCCATCTTGGTTGCCTTGTTGCTTGCCTGGGCTGTCTTGGAAGCTCGGGACGCGGTCGCACAACCGTCCAACGAGGGATCGTGGCCTCGGGAGCGTGGCTCCCATGTTAACAAAATGCGAGGGCTCGTGGCCTCGGGGACAGGGGGTATGCATGGGCTAGTCTTGTAGCAGAGGTGTGGGGGGGGGTCCGAGTTAAACACGCTACAGAGCAGCACCTGGCATTCTAGCACGCCCACGTCGTGCAGGCACGATGGCGGATGACGGGAAGCGCCTCCGGCGTGCACCGTTGGTTCTGGGGCTCCATTTCTAACTAAGGGCTACGGATCCCATGCGGCACCTCGCTGGCGGATGACGGGAAGCGCCTCCGGCGTGTACCGTTGGTTCTGGGGAATTAAGCACCGCCAAAGGCTCCCATTTTTCGTTGGCGGATTTCTGTTTTTTTTTTGCCGTTTCGCTCGGGACATCCTCGAAAAATCGGCTCCGGAGGGGGCTCCGAACCGACATCCCCTTGGAGTCGCCCCCGGAGGGCTCCAAGACGGCCCACGGAGGGCCCCAAGAGACCCCAAACGGCCCCCAGGGGGCCCCCAAGACGGCCCACGGAGAGCCCCAAGACGGCCCACGGAGACCCCAAGACGGCCCAGGCTGCCCTCAAGACGGCCTCCGACCTGCTGGGACCGTCCTGCCTCCCCTGGTGACGGGAAGCGCCTCCGGCGTGTACCGCTGGTTCTGGGGAATTAAGCACCCCCAAAGGCTCCCATTTTTCGTTGGCGGATGACGGGAAGCGCCTCCGGCGTGCACCGTTGGTTCTGGGGCTTAATTTTCTCTAACTTTGTGTCGGCCAGGGCTCCTACAGGAGGGAATCAGAGGGGGTCTGTTTTTTTCCCCGCCAGGCTTCTGCAGAGGCTATGTTGGGCCTCCAGAAATTTCCCCGCTAGGCTTTGCAAAAGCTATGCGAAAGCTATGTTGGGGGCCCTCTGAAAAAAAACGCCAGACGTCTCAAAAAGCTATGCAAAAGCTATGTTGGTGCTATCGCAATTCAAAAGAAAAAAACAAATACCTTAAAGCAAATAGGGGATACATTAAGCAGCTTTGTGTTGGCCCAAGAAAGGGCCTTCTGAATCCCGCCCCCAAGGACCTGATCGTTGATATAGTTAAAGCAAAGGGGGTCAAGGGAAACTCGGCCACGCCTCGGGGCCTCGTGAAAGGGGGCAGCGGATTTCGCGACAGGGTCATTGTAAATCGATTGTGTGTAATCCCTAAACGAGCGAACAACCATGGCCTGCTTTCTCGCCGTCCTGTGTAGAGGTGGTCGGTCCACGACACTTGCTGCGCGTTGCTTCACTATCGTCATTCTCTTCTTCGGCTCCACCCTCTTCCTTCTCGTATTTCCCGTCATTTCTGTCATCGTGCATGCACGCCCTCCCTCCTCCTGCTCTGGAAGAGGTTGGAGGGCGTGCATTCCCGATGAAAAGAATGATTGGGGTATGAGAAGGAAGATAGGGGCAGTAAGATAACAGCAACCCACGTGGGACAGATCATTCGATTGGCCCGTTGCCCTGACTGTGCAGTCAGATGCGTGGACACCGAAATCCAAACAGTGAGCTCGAGCCACGCGTTGAAATAGTTCGTTTAAGTTGCCCTAGAAACACAGGTGTCATATGCCCTAGGTACAGGTCGACAGCACTGTTTGGGGGCACGTAGGGATTGTTTGGGCCACGCAAGCACCGTTCGGGGGCAGAGATGTAGAAACAGGCCCAGGCACGGACAACCCAAACGAACTCAATCGCTTGATCGGGCCACCCCGAACACACTCCGAACGCAAGGCTGGCCTAACATAAGGGTACCCCAAAGACTCCGAAGCTCCATAGCCATTTGGGTTTCTTCCATGTCTTTCCATATCAAAATGATTCTTATGTTATCCATAGCAGTTTTGTTCTTTGTCACTCGTATGGTTGACAATGCTCATTGGCTTTCGGCGCTCGATGGCGTGGTTGGTGAATCCCCATTGGATGACGACTGGCCTTCAGTACTGGACGGTTTGGATACTGATCACTGCAGTGCCGAGGCTGGGCAGGTGCAGGCTGACGACTGGAGAGCTCAGCTGGACGACATTTCGGTCGCCTCCGTCGATGAGGACAACATGTCGGTCGATTCCCCTCAGCTGGCTTTGGTCGAGGTCCCGAAGGTCGAGCTGCATGACATCACCAGGGTAGTTCACGTTTCCAAGTGCACGCCAGACGAGGAGCTCGACGAATCGGCCAAGACGGTTGCAGAATACTTGATGGAGAACGATCCGCTCACGGGGCGCTTCACTGACTCAGCGATGGCTGTCGGGGAGGCGCGCAGCAAGTGCAGGGGCAGGATGAAGCTCATGTCAGCGTGTGCGCTGAAGGTCCCCACGGGTTTAGGAAACGCAGGTGGGCGCTTCGTCGTGGACCGAGTGTGGTTGGGAGGCGCTCTCGACTGAGCCACCCCCCATCTACACTCGGTCTACCACGGGCGCCCCCTCCTTTCCCGAGTCCGCTCAAGGTTGAGAGGAACATATGGACTCATGCTGAGAAGTTGCTGGTTGATGCATCAGCGACGTCGGATAGGCTTCAACTCATCTTCTACGTGGAGTACGCCAGCTATGACAGCACAGACTTTTGTTTGACGAGCTCGCAGAAAGTAACCGAAACCCTCGTTGATGGGCCAGCTCTTCATGGACGCGATGCAGGGGATGGAGGTGAGCTTGGACAGATGTCAACCATCGAGCTTGACGAGGCGACGGTGGGCACGAAGAAGATACTACATATGGACACGAACGTGTTGCTCTTACTCAAGATCGACGGCAGATACGCCATACTTCGTGGGAATATGTTGTCTTGGTTGCAGGTTTGCGACAGGAACTCAGCGGCGAACTACAAGACGTGTGATTCAGACTATTCGGTTGGAGTTGCCAACGCATCTGCTTTTGGAAGACGGCTTCGCATCGTGGTGGCTGATGGGTATAGTGCTAACTTGAAGGCTGAGCGCCATTTACATTTCGAGCGTGAGGGGTGGTCACTGCTTCATCTTCTTTGTCGGGTGCACGCGGTTGCTTGGTTCCACACCAAAGTTTACGACATGAATGCGGGCGATATTTCGGGTCTTGTTGCTACTGCACTCTCTCAGGCTTGCTGGTCAGATGAGTTTACTCCGAAAGGCTGCTCGGCGAGTCATCAGACAGAAGTTGTTGATCGTGCCAGGCGTTGCGCTA